GGGCATGGCTAACAACAGCATTCTCAATCCAAAGTAAGGGATAAGAAACAACATATAAATACCCTAGGTTTAGGTGAAAGCCCAGTTATGTTTCAAATTTGTGATACAGTAGGGAGGTGGGTGTATAATTGCTATCTCAACTTACACATATCATAACTTCTTTGAATATTAAAGATTTCTTGACTTTTTGTGACTAAAGATAGTTATCAACTGGTTGTCATGTCTCTGATAAAAAAAAAAAACTTCTCCAAACTTCAATGAAGACCAGTCCACAGGTGACTCACAGAATACATGGTCAGGCCCATGTATAAAGCCTTTCCAATTTGTTAAGAGGAATAAAAGCTTGTGCCTCACTGGTATAATCTTAAAGAACCTAGGGCTACCAAGAGGGGCCATCAGAGGTAGAAAAATTTATCTCCATGAAGAAAGACAAACACTAGGATTACAGTAGTAAATTTCAAGTCAAGCATGAGTTATTATGTAGCCTGTCTTCTTCTCCCCCCAAAAGAAAACAAAAGCTTGCACAATCATAGATTCCAGTAATAGAAGCATGGCATCTAGAACCACAAGAGGGTAATCACATTGTTCTCTGTCCCAGCCAGACCACATCTCAAGTTTCATGTTCTGTTCAGTATGCCACATTTTAGGATAGACATTGATAAACTGCAGTGCAGCCAGAGTGGGGTTATTGGGTTGATGAGGGGTCTGGGAATTATGCCATAGGAAGATTGTATGTCCTAGTAATGATTAGCCTAGAGAAGAGATGATCAAGAGAAGACATGATAAATGTCTTGAAGTGGAAAAGGGTTTAAACTTATTTTGCTTGGCAACAGTGCAAAACTAGAAGCAATGGGTAGAAGTAACAGAGAGGCAGATTTCAGCTTAATAGGAAAAAAAGGTTTTCAACAATTAGAATTATCTAAAAGGGGAATTGGCGGGCAGGGGAGATAGTAAGTTTTCCCATCACTGGGAGTTTTCAGGTTGAGGCTAAATGATTTAATATTAGGGTCATAAATTTAGATCGAAAATGGAGTACAGGCCATCTAGTCCAAGCCTCTCATTTTATAGATGAGGGACATGAGACTCAGAGAGACTAAGTGATTTATTTGCTCAAGGTTACACAGGTATAATGTAGCAGAATCAGATCTGAACCTAGGCCCTTTCAATCCAAATCCATCATTCTTCCAAAAAGTCTAATCTGGGATATAGGTTAGTAATATAGATAAATAAAATACAAAGATTGCTATTCAGATGTAGTTTGGATTAGATGAATCTTGAAATCCCACCCAATTTTGAGGTCCCATATGACTTTGTGAAGAATATAAAGAAATACAGAAATATGCAACAGCATTAACAACAAAACCAAGGCAAAAAGCAGAGCAAAGAGCTACTATATATGTTAACTACAACTTATTACTTTTCTTCAAAAGACCAGTGCTGTCATTGATGTGAATTCATCGTCCATTGATATATATTACAAGTCCTTTATTAATCTGCAAATGATCTTCATGAATTGCAGTGGCTAATTGTAAAGATACATCAACAACTAGATAAATATACATGCATACATGCATACACATACATATATTGCAATATATACATATATATGTATGTATATACACACACACACACACACACTCCAATGAATCTGTGATCTCATCGATGAACACCCAAAACTGGGTAACTGTTAATCCAATTCACACATGATGGTTCATCCCATTTAAATCTAGTCCGTCCTCATGTAAATCCACCACAAGAGGTCCACACAACTTATTGGAGCCTTACTCTCATTTTCTTGACATTGCATAGATATCAGTGAAATGCATATCAGTTATCCCAAGGATGTGGTGTAGTGCAGTGAAGAGAGTGGAAGATTAGAAATAGAGTCTAGGTTCAAATCCTGCCTCCAAACTTCCTTCCTGCATGGCTTTAGACCAGTCACTTAACCTCTCTAACCCTCTGTTTCTTGATTTGTAAAATGAGTGGACAGGACAAGATGACTTCCAAAGCCCCGTACAGTTCTGAATCTATTCTCTATTGTCTAGATAGAGAATGAGAGCACTCATAGCTTCAAACTTCTTTAAGACTTTTGGATGACCCTGCATAAATATATTTGCATAAGCATTAGAAGGGGATTTAGAGTGCACTAACTAGCAAAATTACTTACATGTTTTTAATGTAATATACATTAAGTTCTTTTTCCCATAGTTATACTTTCCTAATAGATTTTAAGTGAAAGAAAAAAAGCCACGCCGATTAAAACGGGCCTTTAACCCATTACTTGATTTTACTTAATGTGCCCTGTCTTTCCTCTATACATCAGTCACCATACTTTATATAAAATACACCATTTTCTTTACAAGATGAAAATGAGAAGGGGAAATGGACAAGATGACTAAGAACCCAAGCATAACACACCCCTGCTGGTTCCCCTGCTTTAGCACACCCAAGGTGTTTGTGCATTGATTAGCACATTCACAGTTTCACATGCAGGAAATTACAGCATCCCCTTACTGGAGCCCTGTAGTAGGTTATAGATATAAATTACACTTAAAATAATTTCTTTTCTTTACACCTAGAGGAATTGGGAAACTCAGTAGTAGGTTTTTCCTTTACTTTAAAAACATCCATCCTGCTAACCAAATAAAAGGCCTGCTTTTTAGCTCATGCTGAGTTTTAAGCTAACCTGTTATAAGGTGTTTATTCACTAGCCGATTAGCTTCCATTAACATTAATGTGAATTGCCTAAACAAATTCTCCATGCACTGGCAGAAGGAACGGTCTCTCCTCATATTTCTTTATGAAAAATGTTCTCAGAATCTTTGCCTTAATCTCAGTTACCATAAAGATTACATCATAGTGTGTATTGAGGTATTTTTTTTTTGGCAGTAGTGTCAAAGCAGATGGATGTTGTGTTCACATTTACACATTTAGAGCTTTAAGGTTTCTGAAGCATTTCTACCAGTCACCTTTAGGGGAGAAGAAGGTCAATAGTGGAAACTTTATTAACACTCTTTTTATAGATGAAAACATCAATCTTTGATGATCCAGATATATCTTTACAAGAAGACAGCAGATGTCATTGTGCCCAGTGAAAGCCAAGAGAGTTTGAAGATACAAGTTCCTGGCTAAGGGAGATGAACTATGTAAAATGGGAAACTTATTTATTATCTGCTACCTTGATGGGAAACAATTAACTGGAGTTTTGAAGAACCAACAAAACAGATTCAACTGCTTGACTATATGATTTTTACTGTATCTCAACAGAGCTGAAAGGAGATATTGAACAGGGACAGATCTGTGATTTCACGTTGTGGTGGTGGTGTTCAGTCATTTCAGTCCTGTTAGACTCGTCATAACTCCATGTGGGGTTTTCCTGGCAGAGATACTGGACTGGTTTGCCATTTTCTTCTCCAGCTCATTTTACAGATGAGGAAACTGGGACAATTAAGCAACTTGTCCAGGGTCACAAGCTAGTAAGTGTCTGAGGCCAAATTTGAAGTGAGCAAGATAAGGCTTCCTGACTTCAGGCCCAGCACTCTATCTACACTAACTGGCTACCTCTGTGATTTTACATTAGGACATGATTTCACATTAGGATGCTCATATAAGACCACCTCAACCAGTCTATTCACCTTAAATGTCTGGTGCTGCTTCTGAAGATCAATTTTGTTAGGTGATTTTGCATGGGATTTACGTAATGCCATGGAGAGCAGTAGGCCCCTCGGTTAGGACACCTCTAATTTTTCTTTTTGTGTTACTTGTACAAAGTACCATAGAACTGATCTGGTCTAATCTGAGACTGCAACTTTACAATGGGATGGACAACACCTAGCATTTGCACTGTGTGTAGCTTGTGTGTTCAGTTTTTTACATATTGTCTTCTCTGTTAGAAAGTGAGCTCCTTTACATTGGGGGCTGTGTCTTTGGCTTTTTTGTATCCTTAGCACTTAGCAGACTGCCTGATTTTTAGTAAACATTTAATATATGATTGTTGACTGACTGTTGAAAGAAGCCAGCACCCTCATAACAGAAGGTATTGGAGAGTCTAGACTAGAGCAAAGGTTGTAAAACTAAGCTGGCCCTCCACCTATATTTTTAGAATATAAACTTCCTGTGAAAAGGGACTGTTCTTTGTTTTTTGCTTTTCTTTGTATCCTCAGCACTTAGCACTCTGCCTGGTACATAGTGCTTAATAAATGCTTGTTACTTGAGAAAACTGAGGCCCATCAGGGACTTGAACAAAGTTATGTGTTAAAACTAGGATTTTAATCTAGGTTCTCCAACTCAAAATCTAGAACTCTTAGAGAAATAAAGTTCATGAAAAATGCTATAAGAGGTGAGGAGGAACAGGATAACAAAAATAATTTTCCCCTTCAGAGTTGTGTTGTTGGGTTTTGTTTTGTTTTTTTCAACCAAGATTTTTTTTTTTAATGTATGTTCAAGGAGTTCACAAAGGAAAGGTCAAATTTATACTGGCCATTATGCGCCATAGCAACAAATTATCTAAATTAGACACCCTTAGGTACTAAAATTGAAGAATCACAAGCTTTTTCTACATTATACCTATAATATTCTCCTCACCCCAACCCTACACCAGCTATAATCAAGAATGTTCCTGTACTTACGACAGTGAATGGTACCATCTTGCATTTACAAATGGAGAAATTGTGGCAATAAAAGTTGAAATGGAATGCCATTGTCAGAGGCCCAAATTAGCATAGATATCTAGCCTATACCTTTTCCACACAGTCCTAAGAGAATTTCTCCACTTCTTTGTTTTTCTCAAAGATGGGAAGATAAAGAGGCAGGCCAAAACAACAAAAAGGCTTTAATCATGAAAAACTGGTCGAACTCCAGGGTGGGTTAAAATACATATAAATTCTTGGGATAGGTTTTTGCTTGACATAATTTCCCTTTATTTCAAGAAACTGGGTACAATTTTCTGCCAACCATTGGCTTTTTGCATTCACAGTTACTCCTACAATCCCCCAGGGAGCTATTTCAGGATACAATATGCGTTCTTAAATGGGGGCCTCTACAGTGAGAACACTTCTCCTTTATGTCCGTACTTCTATATGGGAGACATTCAGAGAATTCTGAGGACAGAGGGAAAGTAAGAGTGAATTTTAATATGGAATTTCTCATTCAGATGGGCATGTGAATGAAGTTAGTGAAGGAAATGTTTTAAATTAACCTTTCTCACAGAAGGCCTGTTATCCCATTTTTTCAGAGCAGCAAATTGGTCTTCCCGTTATGTTAAGCACTGAATAGGCCAGTATTGGAGAATTATTTCAGGCCTTTATAATGAAGAGGTTCAAAAAAAGACAGAATTCTAATGATCAAATGTTACAAAATAGCATCCTAAGGAGTTCAATTCAATTGAACAAGCATATATTAAGCACCTACTACATGCAAGGTATTACTCTACGCCCAGATACAAAATTTAAAAAAAAAAAGTTGGCCTGGCTTTCAATTTACTTCTACTCTAATATTTGTATGATATAGCAAGCTAAATAAAGAGAAGTTTAGAAGTGTAGTAATGTGTAATAAAACTTGAAAGGGAGAGGGGACTAAATTGTGAAGAACTTTAAAGAAAAAAAGACAATTTATATTTGATTCTTAGAGGTAAGAGGGAGCCATTGGAATTTGTGGAGTTGAAAGATGACTTGATTTGATTCTTATTCTTTAGGAAAATCACTTTGGCAACTAAAAGCAAGATAGCGTGGAGTGAGGAGAGACTTTAGGCAGAGAGACCAGGAGACTGTTGCAATAGTCTGGGTAAGAGGTGATGAGAGCCTGACAGCCTCATGAGGGCTGTGAAGTGGAGTGAGTGGAAAGAAACTGAGGTATGTGAGAGGTGTCATAAAAATGGAAAGAACAAAATTTAGCAACTGAGTAGCTGTGTGACATGACTGAGAGTAAGGAGTCTGGGATGACAGCAAAGCTGGGAACCACAGTGACTAGCTCTCAGTGTAACTTGGTGATTTCCTGGAGATGCTCTCAATGTTAATGGGGTAGTTTGGGAGAGGGCAGCTGGTAATGAAGAAATGGAGGTCAGGAGGGAGAGTAGGGTTGAATATATAGATGTGGGACTCGTCTGCATAAAGATTGAAAAATGACCACATATTTATATTCTAGTACAAAAAAAAAACTTAATGATTCCCACTCTCCTACTTATTTGGAGGGTTTTTTTTGTTTTGTTTTTGTTGTTTTTTAATAATTCATTCAAGGTTCCAATAGAATTTAAGGTTTCTCTGTAACAGGAATAGAAGAAAACACACAAAATTAGAGGGGAAACTTTAAACTTCTTAAGATAGCAAACTTTTTGAGGTTCTTTAAATACTTGGCTTAATTTGAATACAATTGATGTGTTAAATAGCAAACCATTCTTACTCATCAAAGTAAGTTCCCTAGGGACCTCTAGTGGGTAATACTTTATCAACTCTTTTTTTTATTATGTACATAAAAGCAATAAAACTTCATTCCTCAAAAATCCTAAAACTCAACTTTTCAGCATTTCAGGGTAATCCTTCAAGACCCTCCTATAAACTTTTACAACATTTATTGTCTATTCAACTCCTCTGGGCATTTAGCTTATGCTATCTTACAGTAGAATTAATCTTCTCTGCACATATCCTATCTTAGAATGGATTGCAAGTCTCTGGGGTCATCTTACAATATACAGTGCTGTGTGCCCCAAACCTAACATCCTGCCTCACATGTAGCGGGCCCCAATAAATGTTGGTTGATGATGATATTATAAGAAAAGCTTGATGATAATAATGTTAGTACTTAGGTGAATCAATGAGTATATTGATATGTATACTCAGTCCCTCCAGAGGAGGATTGCAACAACCTGTATGATTCTTGTCCTCTCCTGTGAATGTCTTCCACAGATGGTCCACACGGCATAGTGGGGGTCTGCCTCTGGTTCTTTCAATATAGGCTCATAAGCTGCGGTCCACTACACTTGTAGAATGGAAGAGTTGAGTTCAAATTCTACCTCAGCTACTTATTAGTCATGTGACATAGTCACCTTCTCTCAGTCTCAGTTTTCCCATCTATTAAATGAGAATAATAGTACTGACCTCATAGGGTTGAGGATAAAAAGAAAGGTAATATTTGTAAATAGCTTTTCAAACCTTAAAGCACATTATAAGAGCTAGCTTCTTCTTTTTCTTTTTTCCTTCTTCTCCCCTCCTCCTCCTCTTCCTCCTTCTTCTTCATATTTATTATTATTATTATTGATTTAAAGCTGGAACGGATCTTGGAGGCCACCTAATGTAATCTCATCTTACAGAAGAGGAAACTGAGTCCCAGAAAGGCTCTCTGCTTTAAATGGGTATCATCTTCTGCCTAATCTATATTCTTTTCTGGTTATACATATTCTTCATGGCATCTTTTATGCCACCACAAACCATCATCAATAATCATGATTCCACCACTCTCTTGCAAAGCGTTGCTAAGAAAACATGAAAAGTGATCTTTTGAAAGTATATGGAATCTCACTTTATCTGAGACAAATTGAAATGGGGAAAATTCAGCCTGCTTGTGAGCACAGAGATAAGACTAGACCCTCAGCAGGCCAATAAAATGTTCATGATGTCAGCAAACTAAGTAAAACTTTCAGAGAGTATGTAAAGTTAGGGCAAGGAGGTCGTATAGAGCACAAAATTCAAAATGCCTTCTCTGTTCTAAGACAAGATGATCTTGGAAGGTCCTTTCCTTTGACATGGGTCTCTGAATTTAATGTGCTTTACATGGGGATTACCGATGGTTTGATATCATTCCAAATATGATAGACTTCTTTAGACTTCCATAGCTATTCAGTGAAAAAGGTCAGAGAAACTAAATGACACATAAAAAAAAATGAAAGGACATCAGCGAAAGCCAATAATCAGGTTTTTGTTAAGAGTGAAAAAAAATTAAGGGAACTCAATGACAAACAGGTCAATCAGGCTTTAAAATCTGAAAGGACAATTTCCTACTCCAAAAGAGTTCTGGAAAAGTATAAGGAAAAATTTTGAGGCTTTGTGATATGGAGGGAAAAAGAATAGTAGGTACTGGGAACAATACTTTCTCAACCAAACTCCTAGAAAAATCTGTCTATGTTTGCTGTCCTTTACTTCTCTCACTCATTTCTCAACTTTCTACAGGCTAGTTTAGGACCTCATCACTCTCTCTATCCAGAATTACCAACCATCTCTTAATTGCCTAATCTATTACTCATTTTTCAGCCCTCATCCTCAGGCTATCTGCTGCATTTGATAGGGTGGTTGACCACCCTGTCCTTCTAAATATGCTCTACTCTTTTGTTTGTGTGTGTGTGTGACATGACTGTCTGATGATTCTCCTCATACCTGTCAGATTACTCCTCCAGCTCCTTCATTGGTACATCATCCGTACCATTCCCCTTGAATGTCTATGTTACCCAAAGTTCTGTCTTGGACCCTCTTCTCTATATACACTCTCCCAATAACCTCATCAGCTTCCATGGATTTAATGATCATGTCTATAGAAATGAAACATAGGACATACATTTAGATGCAGTTTCTCCCTGAGCTTCAGTTCTGTATATGAATTGCATATTGGGCATTTTTAACTGGATGCCTTGGAGACATCTTAAACTCAGTATATACAAATATGAACTCAATAGCTATCCCCCTAAATCCTTGCCTCTTCCAGACTTCTCTATTTCTGTCAAAGGTACCACCATACTTCCAATCCTCCATTCAGAATACTAGTGAACTCTTCACTCTCCCTCACACTAAATATCCAGTCAGTAGACAAATCTTGTTTCTACCTCCATATCATCACTTATATCTAACTAAGCCCTACTCAGAAAAGCACCATTTTAGTTCAGGTTCTCATCATTTTCCCTGTGGATTACTATAGTAATCATTGGTTTCCCTTCCCTTTAGTCACTCACCACCCCTGAAAATACTATATATTGTTGATAAAGTGATTTTCCACAAGCCAAGAGCTGACCATATCACCCCCATTTGATCAACTCCAGTCTCCTTGTCTCTAGGAGTAAATATAAATTCTTCTGTTTAGTTTTTAAAGCCCTCCACAAACTGGCCTTAACCTATGTTTGCAACCTCATGGTAAATCATTCCCCTTCCTGAACTTTGAAAGACACCCAAAATTACCTTTTCTCCTTTCTTCCATCACTGCACTCCACCACCTATCTCTCTGTCTTCAAACTGCTCTGCCGCTGGTCCTTCCTTGTGCCTGGAATGCACTCCCTCTTTACCTCTGCTTCATAGATTCTCTCTCTCTTCCTTCAAGACACAGTTCCATCATCACCATCTAGAGAAAGCCCTTCCTGGTCCTCCCACTCCTGTCACAACTTCCAGTATTATATTACTTTATACTTAACTATGTTTATTTTTATTTTATTATCTTTTTTTAAAAAAAATTCCCTATATATTAATACATGTACTTGCTGTCTTATTCATTCTAAAGTAATATCTTTGTGAGCAAGGATTGTTTCTTTATTCATAATCCCAGGGCCTGGTATATGGTAGATTCAATAAATTCTTGTTGATTGATTGAAAAGTAGAAATCTGGCCACTGGCTTCAGCTCCATAACTGCAACTGCAATGTATATGTCCTTACTTCTTTTTAAGACCAATGTGAGTAATTCCTCCTCTCTCTTCTATGAATTTATAAGTCTAGACTGAAAGTATCCCTTTAACCTTTCCCCTAAAGCTTTATTTCTTCCCAATATGATCATACTTTATAGCCATACTGAGGAAAAATCATCTTATGTTATAGTAGAAGTAAAGAATGGGGACTTAGGGGAGGTGGCTTCAAATCCCTGTCTATTATTTATGTGACCAGGAACAAGCCACTTAATCTCTCTGAGCCTCAGTTTCCTCATTTGTAAAATGAGATATTTGGGCTGGATGAACTCTGAAATCTCTCCACCAGCCCTAAACTTGTGAGCCTATGTTTCTCTTTGAAATATGTTCCACCCCTACTGAACAATCTGACATCTTGATTTTTTTGGTTGTCAGAAACAATACTGATTCACATCCCTAGTCTCTGCTGCCCCCTAGTGGCTGAGGATGCCTTTCCCCCCCACTAAATATTAATTTTTAAAATACTATTAAAAACAAACAAGGCTTTTGTTTGATGTCTCTTGGATAAGGGAAGATCTCAATACTTTTACAATAATTTCATTTTATTTTGAGAGACAGGTGCCCTTTATATGTGCTTGGAATACTAATTTTAATAAAAGGGGGAGGGGAGAAGTGGCAAATAGAAGTATCCCATGAAAATCATATCAGGCAAGTAGTACTAATTCAAACATATCCATTATATATTATATTATATTATATTATATTATATTATATTATATTATATTATATTATATTATATTATATTATATTATATTATATTATATTATATTATATTATATATATTATATTATATTATATTATATTATGTTATATTATGTTATATTATGTTTATATTATATTATATTATATTATATTATATTATATTATATTATATTATATTATATTATATTATATTATATTATGTTATGTTATGTTATGTTATGTTATGTTATGTTATGTTATGTTATGTTATATTATATTATATCATATCATATCATATTATATTATATTATATCGTATCATATCATATTATATTATATTATATCGTATCATATCATATTATATTATATTATATCGTATCATATCATATTATATCATATTATATATTCAACTTTATATCTACTATGAGTTTGGAGAATTGAAATAATAGAGGTAGAAAGCTTTCTGTGACTACGTAGAAATAGTCTTCAACGACTATTTGAGTACCTACCCATTGTAGCATATATCAATTAGGTCAGTAATGACAGTGATTTCAGGCTTTGTCTAAGGTACATTGTTTCACATTGAACTCTTCAGTTACTGTCGAAGCTGGGTGCAAACTAAAGTGCCAATAGACAGTTTGCCTTTAACAGTCAGTTGGTAGTTGATAGAACAATATCCTTCTAAATGTCTTCCCTCAGATCATGTAGGATTTTCAAGGACAAATGGTACTTCTGGTACAATTTCTGTAGCAAAGGCATAAAGTGTAAGAAATTATACTAATAGTGGCCAATAGAGACAGACATGTTTGGGCTGATGGATAGGGAAGATGTGGGCTTAAGTCTGAATGTACTTACTAGGAGATCAGGATACATCAGTGGACAGAAGTACGAGAGGAGTTTTCTGATCGGCCAAATAAAGTAGTTCCTTCCTTCTTCTTCCAAGCCCATCGAAATCTTTACCAAAAAAAAAAAATGTAGGTCACAACAAAAGAACTGAGACTTATATAAAATAATCTATTCCAATATAAATCATAGGATCATTGATTCAGAGCCGAAAGGGATCTCATAGGCCATCTAGTCCAACCCCCATATTTACAGGCAAGGAAACCAAGGCTCAGAAAGGTTAAGGGCTTTCCCATATGAGCATTTATTAAGTACCTACTATATGCCAAGCATGGTCTTCACAACTAACATAGGAAGTAGTTGCTAGCACTATCTCCATTTTACAGTTCAGAAAAGCAGACAGATGTTAAATGACTCGCCGAGCATCACACAATCAGTAAGTGTCTGAGGTTAGATTTAAAATCAGGTCTTCCTGACTCCAGGCCCAGTGCTCTATCCATTGTGCCTCCTAGAAGAGGAAGATAGAAACCAGTCAGGGGCTTTCTGTCAAAAAAAAGCAGGATGCGTAATTGACTCAAAGAGATCACAAAGAGATGCCTGAATTTGTGGTGACTGTTTCATAATTTAGTAATTTCCTCTTGAAATGGGTAGAACTCTAGCTAAGGATTTGTTTCTCTTTTATCAGTATTTCAAAGACTTTTCCTGGCAGGTCCTTTTAGGTTGCTATCAGATCTATACTTATAATACTTTATTCACAGTGACATTTTGCTTTATTGGGATGCAGGATGAGCACTCACCACAAAAGCATCGATTTTGAAGTTAGAGATTTATTGCACCCATGCACTAAGAAACAGGATTACCTGGAAAATATATATATATGTGCAGACAATCTACCTAGACTTACAATATTAATAAAACAGATTTACCTTCATAATAGATATGAAATATAAATCATTCTTAGAAATTTATGCTACATTAACATCACATGAAACTGAGTGAGTTTGGCTAGTAATCAGTCTCTCCATCTCCCTTACCCCATTCGAGATATTTTATGGCATTATCCATTCTAACATTTTTTACAAGTTTTTGCTAGACAAATTTAGAAATGAACAAATCTATTAAAATATAAATCCCCAAATCTTATATATATTTTTTCTCTATCTAGAGTTTAGGGTCTTGAATCATTTGAATGGGCTGTCTGTACTAGATAACTGCCAATCTTTCATTTTGCTATCTTTTCAATTTTATCTCTCACTCCTCCCCACTATGAGGCCTCCTTACCCCCAGCCAGGCCAATCTCATTCTCTGCAGACTTATGACATTTTTTTTTCTCAGTTCCCTGATTTGCTCCTGCTGCCTCTGGAATGTTTCTTACTCCTGGCCCTTGCCTCTGTTTATCTAGGAATGCTGTTCATTGTAGTAGAGCTGAGTGAACATTGGACTTGGAGTCTAGAACCCCTGGGTTTAAATCCTACCTATAATACTTAACTGGTTGTAGGGCCTTGGGCTAGTCACTTAATCTTTCTGAGTTTCCTCACAGTAAAATGAGATATCCCTATAGCTATTTGCAAACTTTAAAGCACTATGTAAATATAGTTATTATTAGCCATCCTTCAGTGATCAGCTTAAGCCCCACCTTAATTGTGAAGTCTTTTCCTGACTATTCTGGCCTAGATTTCCCTCTCACTTCTCTGAGAGCTGAAGCACTCGCTGTTTGTCCGATTCATTCATTTTAGCACTTCCTTAGCACTTTAGTCTCATACCACCTTAAACTATTCACTGTTAAATGTGTAGTTCCTGTCACTCCAACCAGATTATAAGTAATCATGGACCTTGGCTTATACTTTAGCATTTCTCACATAACTGAACATAATGCTAATCTATAGTAGTTGCTCAGTAAATATCTGTTGGATTGGATTATATTCCACGTTGGGCCATACAGACCTGGGCAGGAAGTCCTTTTCAAAGTTTTCTCTGATTGGCTGTATCAGCACTGGAGAAATCAAGTGCAGATTGAATGAAGTGTCAGGCAAGAAGGAGTTGAGGGAAGGTAAGAGGACCTTGACCTATGATTTCATCAGTATATGGAATTTAACAATGTGAAAACTCCTTCTACCAATGGAAGTCAGCAACTCATACAGATTATAATTTTAGAAAATTGTCTGGGGGCACTGAGAGGTTAAATGACTTGTCCATGGTCACTTAACTAGTATTTGTCAAAGGTAGGATCTGAACCTAGATCTTGCTTCTAATATCCATTCTGACTTTTTGAAGATTACAGATGATTGATATTAAGCAAAATTAATGTTTAAGACAATTTAATCTTTAAAATAATGATATTTTTAAATTTTGACATTGAAGAAAAATTGGATTTGGAAGGACTGAGTGTCCCTGGCTGATTAATTGATCAGAGCAGATAATTAATTTAACTCAGCTTTATAGGTCTAGGTTTTCTGTTTATAGGCTACACCTGCATTTCAGACAGTCATAACCATAATAAAAAGCTAACAAATAATATCAACTCATTTTTACGTAGCTAAAGCTTAATAAATATCATTCTCATCTTAGCACCTGTGAAGTAGGCAGCACAATCCTTTTTTTTCTCTTTTTGTCATTCATGCCAGTGTTTTCTTCTATTCAGAGAACTAATAACTCTGTGTGACCTACAGTCTTTGAGAGTTGACTGCAGCCCTCAGAGTACATGTCAGGCAAGACTTGAACCCAGCTCTTCATCCCTCCAAGGCTGGCCCTCTAGCCTCTGGGCTAGAGACACCCTTTCTAGCTTTCCTTTCAAAAATGAGCAACCAACAAGATGAGGAAACTGAACAAGGCTCAGGGAGGTTACACATTCATAGGATCACATAGCTAGGAACTGTCAGAGCCAGCCTTGAACTAGTCTTCTGACTGTTTATTTATATAAAGATTAATTCTCATTATACTTTACCACACTGGATAAAGCAGATGCTCCATCTACAGCTTTTTCTATATTGGCATCTGAAATGGTGCTAATACTTTCCACTGCTGTTTTATTACCAGGCATTTATGTAGCACTCTACCTTTTCAAAAGTGCTATTTTTTTTTCCCCACAGAGAATTCAAAAGGTGGAGTGGCATTTCTATAATATGTTCCTATGGTTTCATAGCCACCAACTACAGGGTAATTTAAATGAAATTACAAACTATTTCTTGAGAGGCAACTTTATTTCAAATTCAAATTTAATTTAGTAATTCAATTCAAAAGTATGTAAGTGCCTACTATGTGTAAAGAAAGCACTGTGCCAGGCTCTAGGGATAGAACAATGGGCTCCCACAGTCCTAATGACATAGAACATGTATATATAAAAAAAGCAAATAAAAGACAATTTGAGGAGAGAGAGCACTATAACTAGGAATGTTCATTTTTAATTTTTTTTTGCCTAAACCAGAATTATTTATTGATAAAGTGCTCAGAGGATACAAAACAACCCTTGAAAACAAAGGTTCTCAACATTCACCTCCAGAGGCAGAAGCCAATTGTATTTCTGTCAAAGAACACACTGAGATCTCATGGGATAATAAACCAAATTGGCATTATGCAGAAAGAATTTAACAGTATGTTTTTCAGTTCAATGTTTTAAGTGATAGCTCCCTCTGAGATGTTGCTTAAATGAACACAGGGCTTAGTTTATGTTTCTCATGTTGCAGAATATTCATTAAAAAAAAAATCCAACCCTGCAAGGGTAAAATAGTGTTTATATGACCATGGATATTCACTAAAGATTTAGAGTTGAGGATGTCACAAATTGCAATGGAGGGCAATGTGTTGGTCATGAGCCAACCACAACTCATTACAAAGGAAAAATGGCACAGAAGAAGCAACTTAAATTTAGTGGTCTGATAAATGCACAAGAAAGAAATATGGACCCTATAAAGTAACAAGACTAAGAGATAATTAACAGACGACCCTCATTCTCTGTTAGTAGCCATACTATGTTAAGATTAACAAGGTTTGTAGCAGATTGGGTGGACTCCCTATGATAGATTAATGAGAGATGGATAAGAGTTGAGGTAACATTTCCATGTGAAAAGCTCTCTGAATTTAGAACAAGAAGACTTGGGTTCAAATCTTTCCTCTGCCACTTACTACCTGTTTGCCCTTTAGTAAGTCACTGAATTTCTCCAGGCCTTAGTTTCTACATCTCTACAATGAAGGGTGAGGGGATGAGGGAACTGAATGATCACTAAGTTCTCTTCTAGCTCTAAATATATGATTTGTGACCTGAATGAGTCCCACAGGATGGCCAGGCACGAGTAGATTGCCAGCTGCATGGTTAGACATTCCTACAGTTATAAGTATAGATAGCTCTAGAAAAGTAGAAGAAGGAAGGAGGCTTTACTATCATTGGTCCAATGCCAGTTTGCCCCTTACTAAGTGACTTTCAACAAGCCACTTAACCTTCTAGGCCTCAACTTCCTTATCTGTAAAATGGAGCTAATAATAATTGTACTTTCTACTTCAGGGAGTAGTTGTGAGGATTAAATGAAGTAATATACACACCTGAAAACTATCTCAAGCCAACTATTACTACTATATGTATCTAGATGAATTGTCAGATTCCTAAAACATTCATATATTCTACTTTTTTTGTGGTAGAAACAGCACTGAAAGCCTACTTCTTCTCATCATCCTCCTTATCTTTCTCCTCTTCCCCTTTATACCTATCCATATAAATATCCATTTATATGTACATATCTCATTTCTGTTCACCCCCAATTCAGCTAAATATTCAATTTCATCTCTATTTAGGAATTTCACTTTTTCAGTTCTTCCAGGAAGAATTGAGTAGCTACATTGGACATATGTGAAAAAGTCATTAATTACATTGGCTCATCTTCACTTCAGTGATTCCCCACCCCACCACTGAAAATAATGGTCTAATAATTATGGCTTAACAGATTGACTTAACTGTATTTTGTGCTTATGAATGCAATGAGATGATTACTCGGGGCTATGCAAACAATTAGAATGACTCAGTCTTTAAATCCCCACATTCAAAGCTTTCCCCTCCAAATCACACAGATTATTAATTCATCTATCTGTTTTCCATAACTGTATAGACAAGAGTATAGACCTGT